TGGCTAATGTAGTCGTATTAGTCTCGCCAGTCTTTCCCAAATAAGCATAGCATTAGAAAAACAAACAACATGAATGAATCTTGGTGACAGTAGGGTAAAATCACTCCATATTAACAAGAACATCCTGCCAGCTTTACTCAGAGAGAGGCAGCCTACTGCCTGTTGGAGAATGAGGGGAAAAAGAAGACAGATAATCACAGATGTTATATTTTTACAGTTCTTTGGTTGTTCATCGTGTGACTAAGACCAGCATCTTAATAATGAAAAATAATAGAAACCTGACCAGTTTTTAGAGCAAAAGTGTTGCTGAAATAAAATGCTAGATTGAGAACCAGACCCACACTTACTAATATGTTGAGAGAGATAACGTGCTATGACACCAAAGCCCCCTAAATGTCATCACATAATAATGCTTACAGTGTTTGGTGTGAGGCAACAGATTCAAGGATGGAATAAAGTTTTGTGAGTGCTTTCTCAACATCGTCAAAATATTTAACCCATCTGTCTTTGTGCCATGTATAATTAAGTAAGTGAGTGTTTGCATGTGTTTGTGTCTGCACATGTGAGTGTTTATATACCCTCAGTTCTGCATGTGTGTTTTGCGTGCATGTGTCTTTGTGGGAGTGCAGGGTTCACTGCCATAATCTGGCCTCTATTATTTCCTTATTTTTGTTCCCATAGACCAAGGATACTTCATTAGAATTTATGGAAGGTTTGGATAGAGAAAGTTTCCTCAAACAAGGGTCCACAATATGCTAAAGTCCCTTATGCATTATAATTCAATGCAGTATATTTACAAATAGCCTAACACTTGTCTGTAAACAGGCTACAACTGGCTGTGAAGTAAAAGAAAGAAATTACAATTCACCATTGTTGAACTAGTGTTTCCTATTTATTTTCAATGAACTGGACGGTACTTTCATAATAAATTGTTCTCTTTACAAGTAAAGCAAGCAAAGTTTACATTCAAAATTTAAAAATAGCTTTTCAAGAAGTTGTCTTTAAATAAAGGGCTTGTTTAAAGAAAAAAAAACATGAAAAAGTGTAGTTTGAGTTTCCCCTTTTCTTCTATCTATCAGGATTAAAATAACCCTACCATAAATACGACAAAGGTTGCACAGAGTGAAATAGAAAATGGTCTGATAAATATGTAGTAATAGGTATGGGTGCATAAAGAAATGCATCTGTGGTCCACCTATTCGTTACCTAGGCCATAGACCCATGTTCTTTTTCTAATAAAAGATTATTTCTGTAAGGGAAAAAAAACAGAAGATAAAAGTTGTGGAAAATAATGGAAAAGTAAAAAACATGTACCATACTTCCCATTCATGCCATTACATTGCCATGTGACCATTAAGAAAAGTTAAAAAGAGAGCATGGTGGTGGTTAAAAAACTGTTGCTGTATCATACACTTGGATAAAGCAATACATATTAATATTAGCAGTTCATACTATAGGATAGGATAGTCCTAAGTAAACATTTGTACAAATGCACCATGCAAAATTTATTTTAAGTAACTAAATGATAATCTGAGAAACTGCATAGTTAGAGAGTGTATAGGAGCAAACTCTCATACATAACTCTGTACTTTATTAGGCTCACCTAGGACGTACGAGGGTGGATTCCCTTTTCCCCTTAGTACCGAATTAATTGGTGGCATAGATTCAACAAGACGACTGAAGCATTCCTCAGAGATTTTGTTCTACATTCATGTGACAGCATCACACAGTTGCTGCTTATTTGTCAGCTTCACATCCATGAAGCATATCTCCCATTCCACCACATCCAAATGGTGCTCCTTTGGATTGGGGTCTGGTGACAGTGGAGCCCATTCGAACTGTCATGTTCAAGAAATCAGTTTGAGATAGTGAGAGATTGGTGACATGGTGTGTTATCTTGCTGGAAGCAAACATCAGGAGATTTGTATATTGTGGTCACAAATGCATAGATAAGGTCAGCAAGAATACTGAGGTAGGTCCATTTGGTCCTACTGGGTCCAAAATGTGCCAAGAAAACAGTCTCCACATTATAATATCACAAGCATCAGCCTGAAGTGTTGATATTACGCATAGATGGATGTTGTTTACTCCACATTCTGTTCAAATGCCTCACTGTCCAAATGCCTGCAGAAATTGATACTCATTGGGCAACATTCTTCCAATCCTTTGGTGTCCAATTTTGGTGAATGTGTGTGAATTGTAGCATCATTTTCCTCGTCTTAGTTGACAGGCTTCTAAGTTCACCATGTTTTGCATCCTGAGGTGCTCTTCTGCATACCTGGGTTCTAATATGTGATTATTTTGCTCGAAGCAGTCTGGCCATTCTCTTCTGACCTCTGCCATCAGTGAAATATTTTTGCCCAGAGAACTGACACTCCCTGGGTATTTTCTCTTTTTCAGACCATTCCCTATAAACCCTGAAGATGGTTGTGTGGGAAAGTCCCAGTAGAGCAGCAGTTTCATAAATACTCAGACCAGGCCACTATTTCAGAAACTGTATTTATGGGAGTGCAGGCCCATCTGGCAACAACCATGTCATGTTCAAATTCTCTTAAATCACCTTTCTTTCTCAGTTTGAAGTTTAGCTAGTTCTCTTGACCATGTCTGTATGTCTAAATGCCTTAAGACATTTGATTGGCTAATTAGATATTTGTGTTGAGAGTCAGTTGAAGTAAAATTGCAGATCAGTCTTTATAAACCCCCTCGAAGCAATACATTTTAATATGTTGTTGATGAGCAATGGCACAGTTAATCCATTGTGCGCTGCTGTTTCTAACAATTGCTTTGAGTTACGCAAATCTTGAGAATCATTCCACAAACTAAAAATGTCTCCCCTAAAGCTCTTTATCAGGTTTGACAGCAAAACGATTCCTTTAAAGGTTTATTTACTACATTCTGGTGACACATGAGCCATTAACAAACTAATAGGAAAATGTGTCATTTATGAAACTGTTGCAATAGTAGTTTGTCATTGCAATAGCCACACACATCTTAACACATTTCTATGTACTTACTTATTTTTATAAGACAACGAGCGTGCCAAAGTAGTTTTCCTACGTTTCCATATACTTTCCAGGCCTGCTTCATAGCTCTGTTTATTTACCTTCTTCCAGTGACTTTCCATTCTCCAGCCTCTTTTCCCTCCATGTGGCATTTTTAAGTAGTGACAGGGCAAAAAAAAAGAAGAAAAAAGAATCACATGTTGCTTCCATAAACAAAACTCTGGTTTACCCTTTGTAAACCTGGCATGGTAGTAACACTGTACACTGTGGCTATGGTAAACCAGCCATATTCTTTTGGGGTAAAGAGGAAATTCTGCAATAAAGATAAGTAATGAAGGTAATTATATACTCTAGGATTCAGGGAGGAAATTAAAGAATTTGAGGGTTAACCTCGAAGGCCATAAAATCACAAAACGGCATTCCTTTTCCATTTTGAGTGGAAATAAAACAAATTTCCTTTACATATATGCACATATACTGTTTTATTATATATTTTTCACTGGACATGATCAGATTTTTTCATTTATTATTTTGATGGATTTTGCCCTACTACGACAATAACATATTGTGGATTGTGGTTAAGATAGATTGGATGACTAATAAATGTTTACATCAACACTGACACAGTAAGACAGTAAAAACAGAAAATACAGTCGCAGTCATAATGTTAGAGTCAAGTGGGGTTTTTTTTCTCTTGTTTTTCAGACTGGAAATTCTAAATGCTTCCTCTGAGCATTTTTTGTGCTGAGTCTGGTCCTGCTCCGAGTAAGATGTTTCACTGAGAGACAAATAGTTGAAATAGTTTCTCTGCTGGGCAATGAACTGCTTGAGAAATTTATCCAACTCTGGAGAGTCCGCTTGCATAGTTAGGAAGTGAGGTCAAGCTCCACTGCAGCTGCCGCCTGCACAACACTAACAGATAACAGACCTTCCTGTCAATACTCTCTCGCTTTTGCTCTCGTTTTCTCTCTGTCAACTCTGCTCATTTCTCATGAAGACTCTTTGTTTTACCAAGTGGAAAGTCCTATAGCTGTCGTATAGTTAGGACAAATATTGTCTGATGTCTGATGACTGAATTCACAGCACTTGACATGCACGAGTAATGTCAGTGACCCTTTCCACAGCGCTAACATATTTCATCTACTCGGGGAAGAGTCCACTTTAATGAACAAAGTGCATAGCTGATTTATTATTTATATTTAATATTTATCACAGTCATTCAAATCCCTTAAAGTTAAGTTATTTATCATCAATTTTTAATGAGGTTTTTGACCTTATTAACCTTTTTTTTACTTACATTTGGTCATAAAGAGATATTGGTACTTTGTTTTCTTGACTAATGGTGGTGTGCTTCATAAGTGATGCTAATGTGGTTGTAGAGTGATTGTTATTTGTTTTAACAGATACACAAAAAACATTTGAGAAAAAGGACAGGAAGGCTATCAGTGAGGGTTACGTGCGGTCATTATAGAGAGGCACTAAAACAACGCCATAGTGCAGTGTCTAGCACTGTTGCCTCACATTAAGGAGGTATCTGGTTCAAACCTCCTAGTGAGCTGGGGCCT